GAGCTGGGGAAAGAGTGCAGCCATGAGATCAGAACTGCCTCAGAGCTTCCAAATTTTAAAAACCGGTATATTCCATTTCTCCCTTCTTACATGCAACCTGGCTTTTCAACACGCAAACTGTGAGATGGGAGGCAGCTTACACAGAAATATGTTGTCCTCCAAACTATAGGGGAATCAGCTGCAAAACGTGGCAGTGACTTCAGTACGCACCCAGGCCACCTAGATGACTGGTTGAGATGGCTCAGTGGTTAAGAGCATTGGTTGCTCTCCCAAGGGACCTGAGTTCAATCCTCAGCACCCACCTGGCCCTCACAACCATTTGTGACTCCAGGTGACCCAACCCATTATTGAGGCCTCTGCCAGCACATGTAGGTGGTGGACATACATGTTAACATACACATAAAAATAAGTTTTAAAAGAAAGAATTGCTTTCCTGTTTTGTTTGTTTGTTTTTGCAGGCCTGAAGGTAGAGCCCACTAGCTAGGTAAATGCACACGCTACGGAGTGCTTCATCATCGCTGAGCTACAGCCCCAGCCCTTGCATTTGTAAAATCTCCCCAGATGCAGCCAGCAAAGGCTGATGATGACCCAAAAGGCACACGTAAGAACGCCAGCACGCAGAGGCAGAGGCCTGCAGATCTCTGTGAGTTCCAGGCCGGCCTGACCTACAAAGTGGGTCTGAGGACAGCCAGAATTACATGAGAAACCCTGTCTTGAAGAAGAAAACGAAGGGAAGAGAGAGAGAGAGAGAGAGAGAGAGAGAGAGAAAGAGAGAGAGAGGACGAACAATGCAGGGGTGGAGGATGGGCCTCAGTGGTACCTCATGAGCCATTGCCCTTAGTACACTTAAGTAGCATGCTAGACCTTAACACATCAGCCTTTAACACGGGCATTTCATTATTACAGAGTCCTAAGTGAAAGAGGCCAACTAAATGTATGTGGCACGTGGGTAATTAACTGTAGAACTCCCATCATGCTCTGCACTTAAAGAGGCGTCCTCTGATTAGATCTCTGCTCACTGAAAATGTAGGGAAATCCTCAGACCCAGAGCAATGAATAAACCATTCTTTTTTTTTTTCTTTTGTCTTTTTGTTTTTTTTTTTTTTTTAGGGTGTCAATGTAGCCCAGGCTGGCCTTGAACTCCTCATCTTCGTGGAGTGAGTGGCAGTGACATCACTCACAGCAGAATAAAACGTTTTCAGAGGGCTTCCAAAGGGAAGGAGATTAACCCCCACGCCCTAAAAATTCAGACGACTCTCACAGAAGCACCAGAAACTCGCATGCAATCTCGTTTTTCAACAGGAGCA